GCCTCCAGTCATTGTGGCAGTGTCCTCTGATTGGCTGTCCTGCTGCTGTCCACAGATGTCTCCCACGTCCTGCCCCCCTTCCCTGCCCCCGAACTGGGAGCCCACCCCCTTCCTGCTGGCGTCTCCCTGGACGACGTGAAGAAGCTGCAGGGATTATACCGGGATCACTGTGAGGTACGAAGCCACAGAGTGGCCTGCTGTCCCGCGGCCTGCTGTCCCGCGGCCTGCTGTCCCGCGGCCTGCTGTCCCGCGGCCTGCTGTCCCGCGGCCTGCTGTCCCGCGGCCTGCTGTCCCGCGGCCTGCTGTCCCGCGGCCTGCTGTCTCCCGCTGATTCTGCGTGTCTCGCCACACCATCAGTTCCATATGCCACAGGCCGGGACCTCCTGGGGTTCATGACGTCGGTGCTTCTCAGAGCCCATGTGCCCCTCGTCCGAGACAAAGTGAAACTGGCTGGCTCAGTCGGTGCCCTCTCAGAAGATGCTGTCCCAGGCGACCGCCTATGTCATCAAATGGCTTGACCGACAATGATGTGTTTTATTTGGAATCCGTATTTGGTGAAGTTCCTTGAAACCGGCCAGTGTTCTTAAAGAAGAGGACAGGCTCCCACCGCTACCCTACTGGCTTAAACCCCGAAGGGGGGCCGCGTGTGAGCCTTTGGATACAGCGTGCCCTCTGATGACCAGCTCTCCCCTGGCCTTTCCTGTCCCTTATGAGATGCTCTCAGTCCCATCCCCCCCCAGGAGGAAGGCTGAGTGAGCACCTGAATTTTTGCCCAAAACTGGTCTGCCCTAGCATACCCCCCACCCCACCCCGCAAGGTCAGGCCATCACCAGAGAGACCAGCCACTCTCTGCTTTACTGTTCGCTGTTTGAGCCGTCGCCGGGGGTAACCGTAAACACGGTTACTACGGCGACACTAGGAGAGGAAGAAAATACATGACAGGATTGGAAGGGGCAGCCACATCGCCGTAACTTGAGAGGGGGGGGCCACGGCCCTGGCGTGAATCACGATGGCAGGGGCCCAGCTGGAGCAGAGTGTGGTGCCCTGCCCTGCTCAGTGTCAGGGAGCCTTCAAAAATAAACACCCCCACACTAGAGTGAGCGAGCGCGTGCGTGTGCGAGCGTGTGCGAGTGCGTGCGAGAGCTCGGCAAACTCCAGGCCAGCAGGAAGTGTCGTGTCCAGCCTCCCTCACTTTTCCCGTGATGCTGTGCCTATGATCACACCTTAACTTTCTTTACATACGTGTCACATGCAGGTTAAGGTAGCTTTAGAAAGCAATTAAGAATTTTGAAAATCAATCACGCTTCTGCATCACGGAGCAAAAACTCCTGAATTAAAAAATTTTAATAGCTTTTTTCCGTCCCCAGGCTACGCTGGACGTGGTGATGAACCTCCAGTTTCACTACATCGAGAAGCTTTGGCAGACGTTCTGGTCGTCAGCAGTGCCCTCTAGTGACGGAGCTGCGTCTGTCCCCTGCAGGTCAGCTGCTGCTCATGCTCTTAAAGGCCGGGGGATGGTTTTGGACAGTCAGGGCTCTTCTGCTGGACCTTAAGGCAGTAAAATGTAAGAAACAGTGGGCTGAGCTTCCGGAGCTGTCAGGTCGGGGTTGCTGACTGAGTCCTGCCCTCGTTCCCGCAGCGAGGAGGACCCGGAGGGAGACATCTCGCAGGCCAAGCTGGTGGCGCTGTGCTGCTTCGAGCCTGTCGCCCTGTGGATGCGCAGCTGCGACCACGTGCTGTACCAGGCGCTGGTGGGGGTCCTCATCCCGGACGTGCTGCGCCCCGTTCCCAGTCAGTCTGCCGCCCACCCCCCCATCTCCCATCATCCCACTGTCCTCCATTCCTCTCCCCATCACCTCCCTCTTTCATCATCCCTCTCTCCTCTTCTCCTGCCTCTGCCTGCATGTTAACATAATTCATGTCATTCCCTTGTCCATCTCACTGTGCCCCCCCACCCTCCAGGCACCCTCACGCAGGCCATCCGCAACTTCGCCAAGAACCTGGAGGGCTGGCTCGGCGCCGCCATGAGCAACTTTCCCCCGGAGATTGTCCGTGCCAAGGTACCTGACCCCGCCCCCTTCCCCGCCCCCTTCCCAGACTGCCACCTCCACTTGCTTCAGGTGTAAAGACAAAGAACCCATCATCTGATCACTCCTTCATAGCTTTCCCAGAGTGATACACGGTGGAAGTAACAGAAGATACTAGAAGCTCATGTCGTGATTGATTAGCCTGATCTGTTTCGCTGGCCAGACAACTGAAATAAATCGCTGACCCATTACTCTGATCTGCCTACAGGTGGCAGTAGTGAGCGCGTTTGCCCAGACCCTGCGCCGCTACACGTCCCTGAACCATCTGGCGCAGGCGGCCCGTGCGGTGCTGCAGAACACCTCCCAGATCAACCAGATGCTCAGCGACCTCAATCGCGTCGACTTTGCCAATGTGCAGGTGCGCGGCTGCCACCAGGGGGCGCTATCTGTGTGTCTGTTGGGCTGGCTGGAGGCTCATTCTTTGCGGCCGCGTGTTCCCCACAGGAGCAGGCCTCGTGGGTGTGCCAGTGCGATGAGGCACTGGTCCAGCGGCTGGAGCAGGACTTCAAAGCCACCCTGCAGCAGCAGAGCTCGCTTGACCAGTGGGCGCTGTGGCTGGACAGCGTGGTGAACCAGGTGCTCAGGGCCTATGAGGGCAACGCCAGCTTCGCTAAGGCAGCCAGGCAGTTCCTGCTCAAGTGGTCCTTCTACAGGCACGCACACACGCGCACTCCAACACATACACCTGATGTCATGCCTTGGCACTGGCTCCGCCCCTGACTCCGCCCCTCACCCCACAGTTCCATGGTGATCCGCGACCTGACCCTGCGCAGCGCCGCCAGCTTCGGCTCCTTCCACCTCATCCGTCTCCTCTACGACGAGTACATGTTCTACCTGGTGGAGCACCGTGTTGCCCAGGCGACCGGGGAGACGCCCATCGCCGTCATGGGGGAGGTGGGTTAGCGTTAGGCTCAATTTTATAATTAATTGTATGATTAACAATTTAATAAAAGTCTACGACTGCAATCAAAAAGCGGAAAAAATACCAAAAGTCTTGTTTTGATTGGTTTGTTTGTATGGTTAAGGTTACAGCTGGGTGGGGGTTGTCATTTGTGGGATTGGGGGTTTCCTCCCATGAATGGAGAGTCCCCATAAAAATGTGAATACAAACGTGTGTGTGTGTGTGTGTGTGTGTGTGTGTCAGCGATGTGATTGGCTGCTGACTCGCCTCTCCTGTTTCTCCATTGCAGTTCAGTGACCTTGGCTCCATGATGCCTGTGTTCATGGATAAAGGTCAGTATCACTGCAGCTGTGGCCTAATTAAACTGCGTATCACCATCGTCATCATCGTCACCGTCGCTGGGCTGTCGGAATGGGATTAGTCTGTCATTCCTAGGCTTAGTTGTTCCTGTTCTTTTGAAGTAATTAAGGATTTGTTACTCACTCAAAAATGCAATTGACTGCATTGAAACTGTGACGGGACCAAACCATTAGTGTTATAGGGGTGGTCTGGGGTTCTTTGTACAGCTCTTTGAGCCGATGGCTGTCATTCTCACAGACAAGTCCCCCATCTCGGAGGACATGAGCGAGCCCTGCAGCGACGGGAACTCCTCCAAGGCCGACGGCGAGCCGGCCGTCAAGCGGGAGCGCGTCGAGATCAGCTACTCTCTGCAGGAGATGTGAAGAGAGTCGGGTGGGCGGGGGTGCCTCCTTGTGGCCTCTTCAGAATTGTACACTTCAGGTTCCACCCAAGGTTTATAATCCAGATTTAAAATTTTTATTTGCTACTTCCCCAAACTGTGGAGCAAAGTGGATGAATTTTTGTCAGTCTGTTTCAGTTAGTTGGTTCTGGTTATTTTGTAAGCTGTGCCATAGTGTTTCTCTAGTGCCTTCGGTGACCCCCCCCCGCCCCCCCCAAATAGCCGTGCCTCTCGTTGTGTCTGCACTTGTCCTCCAGGGGATTGTGATCCTGTCTTACTGGTGCCTCTGTCACGGTGATAACTGGTCCCAGTTCTTACTGGGTTCACACCCATACCCCCCACCAGCCTGCTCAGTTGTCCATTTTAGGTGGGATTTCACTGCCTGAAGTGCCTTGACTCTTGACCCCTGCCTGGCCCAGAGCCCACCCACCCCAGCCTGTTTCCAGGAAGGGGACCTTCTGATGTCACTCACATGTCCCATGTTCCCGCTGTAGGACTCGTGACCCTGTGACACGTCGTCCTCCCTTGCAAGTGCGTTTAAATCAGCGGGCAGACGGTGTCACACGGCTTAACCGTTTGACGTCCCAGCCATTACACAGCAAAGACCAGAGGCGGCTGCATTTAAACATAAATTGTAGAGATTAAAGCTGTGAGTGGGGCATTAGCTTAAAAACTGAATTGCCCATCATTTTTTCTTGAGTTCTAGTAAGAAAGAGATGGTATTTATTTGTGGGCTTCTTATTGGAAAATGGCATATATGAGAACGAAGCTGTGTGTCTCGGTGAAACGGTGTCCGTTGTGGATTGTGCTGAGGTCACATGACGTCCTCAGACTCGATGCGGGAATCAGCTGTTTCCCCTGCTTATTTATGAGATTCTTGTGGTGTGCAGATTCAGGTTGGATGTTGTCTATGCAGTCCGGGTTGTATTTCAGTACTTGCTGGTCCTAAGGTGTCCCCTGCGTGCGGGTTGTGGTCCCCAATGACACGTCTGTCACCGCAGGAGGCTCCGGTATAGTGTTTTTTTGTTTTGTTTTTAAATCTGACCCGGACATTTCTTTTGGTTTGGCTCTGGTAAAGACGCCTAGACTGGCTATGTATGACGATCAGTTCATTTTTAAAGCCTGTTCGACACCTCATGCAGTTTCACAGTTCCAGACCAGCCTTTCTGTGGTTAAACTGTATTTTGTACTGGTCAAAATGTTAAAATTGGTGTAAAACTTTTTTTTTTTTTTTTATTTAGCAAGTAAAACAATTTAAGGATGAAATGGCCTCTTTTTTTTGGAAAAGTGGCAGTTTTTATTGCCATAACCTCAGTGCTCAGTGTGCAAACGTTACTCAAGACAAAGTGAATCATACAGACAAACTCACTGTTTAACTACCGCATGTAAGATTCCTGTATACAAATATAAAAATTCAAGTTTTCAAGGCAGTTCCAGGTGTGCGGATGTATTGCAGGTGGGTACGTTCCTTGGACGTATGCTTGACATTTAGTTTTGAATGAGTGTAATCGAAGGCACACACACACACACGCACACAAACCACCCTGTACAAAGTGTGTCTCTCTGCATGAGCAGCCGAGCCTTTGACACCACCCCCCCCCCCATTAAGTATGGCTCCTCTGCGGGGGTGGAGTGCGTCAAGCCGGGGCCCCCTCTTCTGGGAGGCCGCTGGAGAAAGGCGCTTCTGGCTGGTCCGCGCTCACCCTCACCGCGTCTCCTCTGTGGCCCACGGAAAGTTCCGGCCTCCTCACATGGAGCAGCCAGCCATGTACCTTCCTGCAAGAAATAGAGGAAACACATTTATCTGTGGACATGCCGTTGCATCCTGATCCCATGACGCTTTTCCAGAATATCGTACTTCTAGACCCACTTCCCGTGTCGTTTGTACCTGTAGTGAACCTTTTCTTCACCAGCGACATGTGGTAGCGACTCCCCACCAGCTCCACGTCAAGCCCGGCCAGCGAGGCCCCCGTGCCCACAAACTGCACCATCAGGCAGGGTGGGGGGCCCCGTGGCGCCTCCAGGCACTGCCAGCTGGCACACAGTGTGCCGGAGCCTGGGGGCACAGAGCGGGGGCGTCACCGACGGCACTCCCGGACCCGCGATCTCCCAGCACTCGTGGTGTCCACCTTCTGCTCACCCCTACCCACTAATGGCAACGGTTATAGCTAGGGGTAGGGGGACAAATACCAATTTCACGATTAATCATGATATCGATTAATCGAGATCGATCTTGTTAATCTACACCTTATCCCCATCACTTTGAAAATACATATTTCATTTCATCAAAAAAGGTTGTTTTACATGGTAACAGACATTATCGGACAACTATAGTACATTTTGTTTAACATGAACCTTTGATAATATCTGACATTAATCTACACCAGGAGACCAAAAGCATAGGAAACCGGCTGGGTATTGGCACTCGGGATTCAGGGCTGCCTACCCCTGATCTACCATGATCTAACTCTCAAGAAATAGTTACAAAAATGCGCTTTCGCAAAATCAAATTTACTTGAAGCTGAATTGGAAATCGGATCGAACTGTGAAGTCAGGGCTGATGCCCAGCGGCAGTTACGGCCCGCATACTTAGGCCACAGGTATTCTAGCAGTCATGTCAGCCCTGGGATCTTGAACAAGGCCCTTAACCCGAAACACTGCACCAGCGAGCCAGATAGACAGCCGACTCTGTGCTCGGAACCCAGGCCTCGCTCTCACCTCTGTGTGAGCGTCCCAATGTGGGCTGTGTGAAAAAGAGAATGCCTACGTATCTGCACTCGTACTAACGGCAAATAAAGGATTTTCATTTGGGGCACCTCATAGGGGAAACACTTGCGGGAAAAGCCCCTGGAGAGCAGTGCGAGTGTACAGGACAGCCACGCTACCGCTAACTCCCTGTGTGAGCAGGCGGCGGAGGCAGCTGGTTCGTCACCTTTGCTGTGGTTCGTTGGACACAGGTTGGCCAGCTTCCACAGCAGCCGCCGTTCCTCCGGGTTCCTGCAGGGGGAGCAGACGCTCGTCACCGCCTTGCAAAGACGTTCGGCCGACAGCCTGGGACCTGGTCTGCTCCCTGACACCGCACATACGCAGGCTAATCTCCTCTTCTAATGGCACCAAACCCCGCAAGGCGCCATCTGTGGGTGGCTCTCTGCTCCAGCATTACTCAACTGCTGCCATCGTTTTTTGTTTTTACATATTTATCCTGAATAAATTACCTCTGGGCTCCAGGGAGCCTCAGACACTCTAGCCCTGCTGCCACAGACCGTGCTCTGCTACAGAGACCAGCCTGAACCTCGGCTGATCATGTGGTGGAGCAAGCGCCCCCTATAGGCCAGTCAGCGATCTACAGATCTCCAGCAGTCTTATGCTGTGTTCCATTTGAACTCGTAACTCGTAAATTCAGGCCCCTGAAGTTGGAATTCCGACTCAGAGGGATCAACACAACCCTGACCTCAGAATCCAAGATGGAAAAGGTAAAGGTGTAGTTATACCCTGTTTATTAGCACTTATATTTTATTTGTGGCTCCTTAAATCGGTCGTACACACAGTACTGTCCGAACGTTATCTGTGGACGTGCTGCTACGGTGTTTTTATGTGCAAAATGCCACGTAATATGTTGTTATCCAATGATATTGCTAACAAGGGCTAACAATTAAATAACCGTGGCCTGTTTCATTAAGTGAGATTTAAGGTTGATTTAAGGTAGTCTGAGCTACATGGAAATAAAGATAAAGGCCATTTAAACTGGGGAAAATTAAGTTAGACGAGTTATCCAGGTAAGCGAGAAATGTAGCTTTTTGAAACGAGTGCCTGGTATTGCTAAATGACTTTCCGACTTGCTGTACTGGAACGCGATTGCCTCGCGTGTGACGTCATTCCCAGTTCTGAGTTCCCACCTCCGAGATAAATGGAAGCCTTAATGTCAGGTTTCCTGCCGTGTAATATGAGATTTCTCCACCTACCCACCCTTTCTCCCTCCCTCACCCCCATCCAAACAGAGAATCGAAAGCGACCAAATCAGCATAATGTTGAGTATTAAACCCGAAAAGCCATTAGTGAGAAATTACATACAGTCGCATTTCTTTATGCACGAGAGAAATACAAGTACAACGACTTGTAAATGCAGCAAATACTGCAAGGAAAAGTAGTACAAAAACCCCCCCACCCCCCCACCCAGGTGTGAGAGCGCCCTCACCAGGCGGCGGGCGGCTGGCACTGCAGGTCGGTGGCGGTGTGGTCGAGCTGCATCAGCACCTGCACCCCGGTCAGCTGGGCGGCCGGCACCGTCGCCGGGCAGCAGTGGTAGTCAAGGGAGATACGGGTCACCGTGCCGCTGCGCTGGCATTCTGCGGACAGCAGGAGGGGGGCACAGCCGGAATCCTGGGACGACACCTGGGGGGAGGGGAAGCCAGGAAAGGTCAACCGGCTTAAAAAACTGCCAGGTCTGTACAAACAAACATCCGAACACGACTAAATACGAAGGATGGCCTGTCAAAAAGGTAAAAGCCATCAGCTGGTTATCACTCTGCCAACTCTGGGACTTAAACCAGTGACCTTCTGATCAAGGCACAGCGCTCTAACGTGATAAGTCACATACTGCCCCCCAGTGGAGGCCATGTGAACTACAGGGAAGACCAATGTCAAAAAGAAGTTAATGGTGGACGTTCTGCATCCACCCGTACCTGGTACTTGAGGACGCCGACATTGTAGTAGGATGCCTGGGGGTTTAGTTCTGCCTCCTTCTGAAGGTGCAGGGTCAGCGCCTGCATGTTGAACCAGAAGTCCCTGGTGGCCGGGTCGCTCTGGGAGGGATCGCTGTCAAAGGTAACAGGAGTCAATCACCGGCCCCAGAATGCTCCAGGACAGCAAAAGGCAGCCTACCTATAAAGCAGCTTCTGATTGGGCAAGAAGCTGTCCACTCGACCAACATTGACCAATCTGAAGCTGAGGACCGGGGCGTTAGGGTTGGCGGCAAAGATGCGGGTGATACCGGCGGGGAAGGACATGGTGAGGTCACCGGTGATCTTCACCAGGCAGCTGGAGGGAGAGAGAAGCAGGGGCCGGTCACACACCTCCAGCACGCGCACACACACACGCACACACACGCATGCACACTTACCGGTTGTGTTCGCCACCCTTGAAGAAGGCGTTGATGTACTCAGTGAGAGCAGCAGCCACCGGCCAGGTCTCCTGCGCATTCAGGGAGATTGGGCTCGGCCCCCGGGACACGCCTGAGGGAATCAGCCAAATGTCAGGCATGTAAAACTCGATTGGTCGCTCTGGTCAGCCATGTGACCTTGACTGGGACAGTTGATTGGAGGATGGATGGAGGGGGGTGAATGGATTCAGGTGTGACCACCAATTCCCAACATCCCTGGGGAGTAGTTGGACACACACGCACCTCTGGCCGGGCTGGGGGCTCGGGGCGCCGCGCCGGGCTGCCCACCCCACTCGCTGGGGCTGGAAGAGGACGAGGAGGATGAGCCGGTGATTGCGGGGCTAGGGTCTGGCAGGGGGGACGAGCACAGGGACCTGGACTGGAACACAGAGCGAGCAAAATCAGGGCGAGAGTGTGGGTCAGCATGGAGTGGGCGGTGCCCAGTGAATATGCGGGAAAGCCTACCCGCTCACTGCCGCTGCTCTGCCGGCCCCCGTGAGCCCGCCTGGAGCGCGATGGGCAGGGGGGGGGCGGGGACAAGAGATCTGCACTGTTACGCCGCGAATGAGGGGGCGTGCCTAAAAGTGAGGGAGCGGGCATGAGTGACAGCCTGTGGAATTGTGGGTAATTCCCAACTGCGCCATGGCACATGGGCATACACAGGTGCCCGTACCTGCTTTGCTGTGGGAACTCGAGTCGCCGGGCACCTGCAGGTCCAGGTAGTCCTGGTCATTGTCCGTGGAGAAGCACAGGTCCTCCTGCGGCCCAGAATGCCGTGTGAGCGGCGGGCCGTTCCTACGAAGTCCCGCCTCCAATACCCTCTGCTTCCTGGTTATCTCTCGCCCGGCTCCGCCTCCTCCTGAACCCGCAGCCACTGGGGGGCCCTCGCTGAAAGGGTTGTGCAGAGAATTCCAGTGCCCCATATCCTTCTTAGGTCGGGACACAGAGGTGGAACCAGAACTGGAGGCGGAGCCAGTGGCTAATCTATTGCTGCTACCGCTGGTTCCTTGGGTGGCTGCTGTAGTTGCTGTTGCCAGAGATGATTGGTGCGTGGGGCTGCCAATCATGGTGATGGCGAATGGGTCCTCAGGAGAGTCCAGAATCGAGACAGCCCTGTCCCGGTCCCAGTCTCGGTCCTTCTGGGAGGTGGAGGAGGAACCAGTGAGCGCCTTACTGTTACTGAGGGTGACCGAAAATGGGTCGCCCCGGCCCTCTCGGCTCAAACGGGGCCGAGCCGGGGCCCAGGGCTCTGAGGGGGGTGGAACTTCAGGGGAGGTTGTCCTTTCAAAGGCAGTAAGGAAGGGGTCCTCAGGGGGGATGTGCTTACAGCTCCACACAGGGGTCTCCAGATCTGGGGGGGCCAGGGGGCAGCCGAAGGCAGGGAAACCGGGAAAGGCCGGGTCCGATTCGGGCCGCGGGCAGCGGGGCGCGTGGGCCCATGTGGCGGACGGGTCGTCCCGCGCTGCCAGGGGGCGCCCTGGCGAGGGGTCACGGAAAGCTGTCAGGAAGGGGTCGGGGGGGCGAACAAACGCGGCCGGCTCTCTGCTCTGCGCAGCCGCTGGCCAGGCTGCCCAACCCGTGGGCTCAGGGGATGGACCCAGGGGTTGATGGGAAGGCGAGTCCAGACCGGAGTCCTCCACATTCTCAGGGGAGGAGGAGTCCGAGGAGAAGGCGGTATCTGCGGGAGAGACGGCAGCCATGTCCGACACAGATGGATGGGCCGATTATTATTAATGACGGGTATTATATGCGTGATCCATGTTACACGGTCATGACTGGCCGGATCCCATTGGCTGTCTGACCGCCTTGTTGGCAAAGACGGACCCCAATCCACGCCGGTACCTGCGAAGCGACCCGGTTTGAGGCAGGCGGACTCTAGCGGCGGTCCGAACAGCGACTCCGACACCGCCGCTGTCGACTTCAACCTGGAGGGGAAGGTCCGGTGGGTCACGGCCTGTTCCTTCCCGTTGTGTGTGGCACCCCCAGCTAGAGCAGGACGTGCTTACCTGCCATGATCGGGGCTGGAGGCCGACCTCCGCAGTCCGTCCTGCTCTCCGTCGGCACCTGCGGACCCCGAACAGTCAGGGTCAAAAAGCTGGGAAGTGCACACATACACACATATATACACACAGTTTGCCTGTGAAACTCCCTCTTGATCAGCACCACCTATAAGCTGCCAGAGGGGGGCGGCAGAGGGCATAGGGACTCACTGCGCATGGGTGCACTGTCCCCTTCGTCTTCTGAGCGTGCTCCAGACAGGCCCATGGAAATCTCTGGGACACGAGACAAGGGTGGGGGCGGGGGGGGGGGGGTGAGAAAGGGAATCATGTGCGAGGGGGTGCAATAAGAAACCTGACAGTCACCATCCTACCCAAAGCCACGGGAGGAAGGGTGTCTAAGTGGCCCATTTCGGGGGCACCTTTAAAGCGGGATCCCCCCCTCTATGCCGAAGTCCCTGAGATGGAACCACCCAGCCCAGCACAGGCAACACGAGGTAGGGGAATACTTACTGGAGAAGTTCCTCTTCACTGAGATCTGAAACAAAGAGAGAGAGAGAAAACCAGAGAGAGAGAGAAGAGAGAGAGAAGAGAGATACAGAGAGAGAGAAAACCAGATAGAGAGACCAGGAATCAAAACTTCATAAAATCATTAAATGAAATTAAAAACCAAACAAGCCTCTCTGAACAGAAGCCTAACTTACTGTTCTTACTGGACTCATCCCTATATTTATGCTGTTGCTGTGACTTAAATGTTGACACACACATTAGTCTATTTATAACATTCCCTGTCCAGCCCTTCCGTCTTTGCCCTGGCCCCTGTTTTTACACTTTTACTATTCTGAGAACCACCCCCCCTCAGCGCTGCCCCACGGTTCCATGCCGCTGTTTGCCTGTATATGTGAAGCCCACTTCACATGACTTCACATGACTTCACATGAGGTGTCATTCTTTATTTATTACATAAAACAGTAGATTGCCATCAATGCAGACTGAGTCATCTCCCCCTGCCCATCCATACCGGTTGGTTGGGGGCCAGTGTCAGGGCCCCTACGGTGGCCCTCAGCTCCCGCTCGTCGGCGGCCGGGTTGGGGCGGCTGCCCCCCCCGCCCCCCCCTCCGCCCACCGGCCGGATCCGGATGTGGAACTTCTTGGGCTCGTCGTCGTCAAAGTCAGAGTCGCTGGAGTAGAAGCTGGGATCCTTCTGGGGACAGCGTGCGGGGGGG